AGCAGGAAAGGCCGTGAGGAGTCGATGATGGGAACAAGGCGCAGGCCTCTGGATATTTGCGGAACCAGGTATCCGAAGGAACTCTAACGGCGCTGATTTGGTCCACTGGTATTCCCAGCAAGCAAATGACTCAAATTATTCGAGTACCATTCAGATGTCTATAGATACGAGGAAAGCTTCGGGTCTTATCTAGGCTCGTGGTCATCTTAGATGCTTGAAGATCGTCGATATGTTGCAAGGTTAAACCATGAGATTCCGATGATCAGTAAAGTATACGCTAGAAAAGTATGTTTTTTTTTCATTATAGATTGCAATAATATTAATCCAATTCTTTTAAATTAACTTCTGTTTCTCAAAGGAAGAATAATTTTTCTTGAAAAAGCTTTAATTCTTGGAGCACTTATGAATAAATAATTCATGAGCATAATACGGATTAATGTCCGAGAGAAATATTCCGATTGAAGTACTCTTTGAAAAAACTTTACTTAAACTTATTGAAACTGCAGAAGCTCATGTCAAGATCCATGCGAACGAAGGAGAGAAGGTCACGTGCGAGAGAAGGCGAGAGGATAGAAGTGCCGGAAATCAGTCTGTCCTTGTTTAAGTAAACTGCCAAGCAGGTCTTTTCTGCTGTTAAGGCTGTTCTCTTCTTCGTTTCTTTCGACGACTTTTCTTCGTTCTCGATTCTCGATCAAGAGACCCACGCGAACGACTAAGAGTGGGGAGAGAAGGAGAAGAAGAAGGCTAACAATGAATCGCAAAAACACTCTTAACGGAGCCTCCACGAAGACTTCTCCAAATCGTTCTCTACTCGAAGTTGCAAGAGAAAAACTGTAATATCAGTACAATGTTTCTGGAAACATAAAATTTGAATAGACGTTAATTGTGTGTTAGACATATATTCGCTAATCGATAAAACAATCTCAATTTTTAGAGATATATTATTATATAATTAAGTGGATACTTTTTAAGAATAATTGTTTAATTTTTTTTATCGCGATTTAAACGATAAAAATGATAAAATTTTTGTTATAGTAACTAATATTAATTAAAACTACTATTTTTAATGAAATAGTTTGAGTAATAAGTTAGTAAAAAATTAATGAAATTTAGAGGTACCCCTTTTTCCGTTCTTAAGACTTCTTCGTTTTATGCTATCATAATTAGCTTCGCATGGACGTTCCACTTATGATTGATTTCTTGATTGACTATAAGAGCAACAGCACCAATAATTTGTTGGTCAATCAAGATTAATCAATATCTTAATCAATTAAGATAATAACGGATACAGTTTAAAACGTTTGAAGAGGGAGGGTCAATTTGTTGTGCTATTTATCTTTTCGAAGGGATGAACTACGAAAAAAATATAATTGATCAATTTTTTTCTTTAGTTAAGTAATCTACATATCTGTGATCTAATTTTATAATTTCTTTTAATTAAAAATACCTAACCATTTTTATTTGACATTTGTACATAACTCTTTGTTAATACAATAGAATTTAAACAGGTAATTTTATTTTTTTGTGCAAGTCGTAATAAAGGATTTGATATAACGCCATTTAGTACGTTAATTTGCTTTAAAAATAAAAAAAAATAAATCGTGTAAAGAGAAGAAAATGCGGATAAAAACTGGAACGTTATCCAATTAAAAAAATCATCAATTTCATGAGATTAATAATTTGCTTAATGAAACAGATTCTATGTTATCGTGATTATCCGGTATATTGATTGTCGATAGCTTTTTGGATATAATCAAATTTTTGTTTTTCTTTTTTTGTGCCGCGAAAAATATTATAAATTATAGATATCATAATCGATGACAATAGAACGATTTGCGATTTATGTAAATTACGAAAATCAACCTAACCCCTCGGCGGGTCACTCTAGTAGCGAGAGATTTTAATGCTATTGAAATAGATTCAGAAGGTCATTCTTCGATATATATCTCCTGAATTATTAAACCCCATATAATTTTTGTTTTTACAAGACATGAAATTATCGAATTAAATATGTGATAAAAAGTCAAATTTTTATTATTATATTTTCTTAAGAATTATTTATTAAATCTTTAATCATTAACCTATTTTTTAATATAGATTTTTAATTATTTTAAGATTTTTGATATTAAAGAAGTCATCGTTGTAGCGATAAGATATATGCGAGGAACTTGCGAAATTCATATATATATATATATATGAAATATATACATATATGGAATAATACATATTTATATATGGAAAGAACGGTTTTGTTAAAGCATTTAAAAAGTAGCTGGATAGAGATCTGAAAATAATATTGTTAGAGAGAGATCAATAAGTATATAGGACGCTAAAGCTAATTGCTGGAATGTTAAACATTTTTGCAGAATTGCTTATTGTGCTTGAGCGTTCTACATATGTAATTTAGTTTTGATCTAATAAAATCATCAGATCGAACTAAATTTTTAGATACTTTTATTTTAGCAAAAAATTTCCATATAATAACGTAATATGTAATCAGTTTGATCTGCTCGAAGATTGAATACGATTAAAATAAACGTTTATATTATCATCTTTTGGAAACCAGAATGATAAATAGTTGGTGTTGTAATTGAATCAAAAGAACATTTTCTTTGCTACACAAAACATGGAATCTCTATATGTTACTTATTGAGTGCGCGATGATTAAATCGCTGGTCGTTGACACAGCGGTTACTATGTCGACAAGGACTTCTTCATCTCTGTCGGTACCATCGTACTCGTATTACGAATAATCGTCGAGAGTGCGCATCTAGAGGAACGACGCGTAACCCAACACGCCCCGCGAGGGGGAGGACTTGAGGTCACTCAGACGAATGGAGTATTGCATGAACAAGAAAATGTTGTGCTGCGAAGAGAAAAAAAAGATAGACGCTTTATTGAAAGACGCTCTGAAATTGTATCTCCAAGAGCATCTCGAGAGCTGCAACTAATATACGGAAAGAACGATTTTGCTGAAATATCTTAAAGTTTATCTAGCTATAGATCTGAAAATAATTTTATTTGAATCATCAAAATAATTATATAGAGCGCTGAAACTTTTGAATGTTAAAAATTTTCATTTGTTCTGATTCATTGTATAATATATAATAAATTAATATAAAGTTTGTTAGTATATTTATAAATAATGCATAATTGCTTATTTAAAAAAGTATCGTTTTGTCTACGTATTTCTTTTTGAAGCAACTATGCGTTTTCTTTATTAATTGAGTGATTTATCTCATAACTCTGTTTAGAAAAGCATTAAGGTATAATTATCAAAAAATTAATAGTTTATGTCTTTACAAGATATTTAACATTTTATGTCAAAATGTGCCAGCATAGAATGTAAAATATGTATCTCATGAACTATTGATTTTCCGGTAACTTTACCTTAACTTTTATATGTGGAATAATGAGAGGAATCATATTGTGTAAAAAAAATTATAAAATATTATAATTCTATTTAAAAAATGACTATACATTTATATAACCTTAAAAAAATTGATTTTTTCAAAAATTAACTTTACTAATATTTGCATCCCTTCAGACTATATAATTTTTATCTTAATTATTTTTCCATATCTTTTATATTTTTCGAGATATTCAACTCATTTGAAATGAGTCATTCTGTATATATAATTTATTTAATGTAGTTATAAAGTGTTTTTGTAATTCAATGTATAACAATGAAGAAGTCTTGAATTGTTTGTTTGTGTGATATTTTAAAGTTAATGATCTGAAATTGGTTGCTCAAAAGTAATCACTCTAATTGTTCTAAGCGTTATATATATATATATATTTAAATTTTTTAATATTTTAGCAAAATTTTTTCCAACATATATGTAGAAAAATAGTTATAAAGAATGGGAATGCACCGGAGCGTAAAATTATCGGATATCTGATGGCGTCACATTGTTTTTGGATATCCAGTAGGGTAATTATCCAGCTGAACATTGGATATTTTTCTGAATATCTGAAAAGTGGCTTCCAAAAGAAGACAGCAAGGAAAAAATAGCGATAATTTTCTTTATCTTCTCCCAACGTGAAAAGAAAGAGAAAAGAGAGATGAACTGTGCAAGAAATTAGTTGAAGAGAATAAAATTCTGCATTAATGATGTAAATTATCAATATAAAATTTCAACTGGATACATATTACTGGATACTAATGATATTCGGTTATCCGAATAGTAAAAACGTGCTGGATACCGAATATTTCCCAGATATCCGGTACATCCCTAAATAGAAAACACAGTCATACAAATTACAAAAATATTCAAAGTAATGCATAAAAGAGATAGAAATAAATTTGTTTTATATATATTTGTATAATATATAGTTATTTAAAGTGGAGATATATAAATATCAATTTTCTTCACACATTTAATTTATAAATAATATATAAATAAAAAATAGATAAAAAATAGATAAAAAGTATATAAATAGCATGATATTTATTCGTTTCCTCAACTTTATTGTATGTTATATAAATTATATAATATAAAAAATTGTATAAACACACACACACACACACACACACACACACACACACACACATACACACACACACACACATCTCAACTTTAAATAACTGATGACAAAGTCCAAATTTTAATGACCAACAAATTCTAACTATAACGGAAAAAGATGTAACAGCACATATAAATCGTTTAAGTGATAAGATGGTTACGTACTTTAATAATAGAGATGTTCTTGAATATAGAATGTTCTGTTATACACTTTTATAGACAAAATAAAAGAAGTATAACATAAAAGGAAAGAAAAAGAATCATTTACATAACAATGATACCTTGTTGAATAAAAGCGTATGTTTAAAAGCGAAAATCTCAGTTTGACTTTTATATTTTTCGAATCCTTACAAAATAAACATTTATTGTCACGAAGTGATAACATCAAAAAGACAAAGAGATCAATTATTAAAAATAATAATAAAAATAATAAAAATAAAGACTACAGAGATTATGAAATCAAAAGAGATTAAATACACAGTAGACATTTAAATCATTAATAATACTGATATCACAATGATGATACCATTTATTATTGGAAATTCCATTCTCCACGTTTTATAACAAGTGTTAAAAACGAAGTACGCAAATGTTTCAAGAGAATGTAAGCGAGTACAAGAAGATGATTGTTAGCGAAGAGATAACAAGAAGAAATATACAAATAGTGAAAACTATAAGTGATATATAAGAATATTGGCAGAGAGTGAAAGCCAGGTCGGCGGTTGATCGCGGCGGATAAATGCGGAAAACCGTGCGACGGCGTGTGCGCCACAAGGGGTGGCGAACCCCCTAAAGGACCCTCGGTACATGGTAGCGGTGACCTCCCGTCGCCCCACCCCCGCATCTCCCCCCTCGCCGACGGCCTTCGCGCGCGCGGCAGTCTTCCTTGCAACCCCAGGTTGTACGTCCCCCTCTCCACGACGTCCTCGTCATCCCTGCCGCGACGGCAACGGCGGCGCACGATCATTGGTTCACAGGTTCACGCAGGCAACGAAGAGGTACACGCAGCTGCTGTGCCAGTGTGCCCGCCACCTCTTGCGCTACGGATCTGAGTGAGAGACCAGTGTTCGGAGTAGTGCCGTGAGCGCGGGTAAATTTGTCGTCGTCGTCGCCGCCGCCGTCGTCGTTATCGTTGACAACGTCGTCATTTATCGTTATTTATCGTCATTGTCGTCGCTGTCATTGCCGTTTTCATCGTCATCGTTACATCGCGTCGCTCTTCGCGTCCTCGTTATCTCTTCACATGGCTCCAACTACCCCTTGCTTCCTTTATCCTCGTCTTCCTAACATATACGTGTTCACTTCCGGTGCCAACATCCGTCGCAAGAAGTGAGTATCACGCGCGCTCTCTTTCTCTCTTGCGCTTTCCATCTGTCTAATGGTATCCTCCTCTCGGTCCTTCATGTTCTCCATAGTCCACACGATGTCTCTTGCCGGGTGTCGTATACCTCTGATGCCGGCCGGTTGCATTGCCGGCTTTAATAACGCCATCTTGTTGGTAAATGGGAATAGCAGCCGATTGTCGTAGCCGCGACGTTCACCGAGGCGACACCTCTCGCGGACGTTACGTACTCGATCTTCTCCTCTTTCTTCGCCAGTCTCTCTAACACACATGCTCTTCTCTCTCAGTCTCTCGCTTTTCCACTACCCCTATGATATCAGTTTTCGACTTCATCAATTTCTAAGTTCGAAAGTTGAATAGGATAACGAAAATGTCTTTGACATAATTGTTCTTCAATTATTCTCTCTACCTGACTGAATTTTTATTCCTTTTCTCGTCGTTTTCTCTTTTTTTTATCAAGTCAAAAAAAGAGGATTAACTTTTCCCCCACTGCGTCTTTTTCATGTACAGGCTACCAAAAAGATCAGGTCCGTATAGTCTACGATCTATTTAGATCATGATTGGCTCGAGTATTACTCTCACGCTTCCCTTGACAACCAGTCTCACCCAGCAGTCGAAACAAAGAATTCATCCAAGATACATCTCGAAGTCAGAAGAGGAATCGCATTCGAGGACGGACAAGTCGGTCGCTTATCATTCACCGTTCGTCATTAATTAGTCTCGCGTGAATTTCGGGGGGGTCTCGCGTGATTATCGTCTCTCGACCACCGCCGTTCGCGATCACGTTCTTCCGTTCTTCGCGCTCGCGAGATTGTGCGTTTATGTGCGCGCGCGCGCGCATGTGCACGCCGGACTCAGTCGACGCTTTGTCCTCCTGTGCTTCTTGATAGGCCGTTTTCGACGACGATAAGAGAGAGATCGTGCCGTTTAGGATGCCGCAGTGCGCGGTGGCCACGTGCCGCAACAGCCATCGTCGTACCCGCAAGCAGTCGGTGCGATACCACCGTTTCCCGCACAATACCGAATTGCGCGAGTCATGGGTGCGTGCATGTGGTCGTGCACCTTTGGCAAATGGAGAACCACCGTTCAACATCAAAACGGCGCGAATCTGCTCCCGGCACTTCCTGGAGGAATTTTACGAGGATGAAAGCAGGGAGCAGATCATGCAAGGTAATCAGAAGAGGAACCGACTGCGCTTGGGCGCGGTACCTACCATAGATGTGCCAGTATTAGTAGAGCCTTGTTTTAAGTTGCTTCGCGAGACAGACAAGAAACGGTCTGCAACACGTGTTAAAATTTCGAACATCATGACGATTTCTAATCGACCGGATACTCGCCAACCCTGTAAAAGGACCCATGAAGACGAAGAAGATGAAGGTAGCAGTGAAACTAAGACGGTTTCACCTGTTATCAAAGAACGTGCTGAACGAAATCAGAAGAAACGTCCGAAGTTGGACCAACAAGAATGTTTCCTATTGGCGATCGGTCTTGTACACGTCAGCAATGTATGGTGAGTTATTTTAAATGGCCGCCTTATATATATAATATATAAAATAAAACAAAAAATATACGTAACATTATATATACATCTATAATATAGCAAAAAAAAAATAGTTTTAAGAAAAAG